TTATCCAGATTTAACTGTAGAAATCAAAATATAATTTGAGAATTACACTAAACGAAAAATATAATATCAATAATTAAAGTTAACTAAATAATTTGAATTGCATTTATATACTAATTAAAACTGACCATGTTAAATAGATGCCGACAGCGCTAAGGCTGAGTGGTCTCTGCACGCCATTGTGGGTGGTTTGGACTTGGACCTAGCTACTTTGATCCCCGGCTTTGACCGAGATGGTTGCAAAGACACGCCCTGTCCCGTCAAAAAGGGTGATAAGAAGAAGTTCTCCTATAAGCTAACCATTCCCGGCGCCACCCCTACCATCGAGGCTGACGTTAAGGCCAGACTCATCGGCGATAAGGGAGACCTGTTCTGCGGGACAGTTCACGGAGACATCAAGGATTAGATTATTTAATCACAATTATTTAATTTAACTTGTTGTTTTTATTTTATAAAACACATAATTTATTTTCGCATCAACATCTAATGAAAATAAAATTAATTCAATATTAACCGCAAAAATAGTTTATTTTGTTTAATAGACTGTAATGATGCACCTATTTATATTTAAAATTATGAGTTAATATTTTTATTGAATAATATTGGGTCGCATATCTCGTTTTAGAATTTAATTATTGATATTATATTTTTCGTTTAGTGTAATTCTCAAATTATATTTTGATTTCTACAGTTAAATCTGGATAATTTTTTAATAACGATTATAAAATAATAATTTTAATTCATTTCGGTTATAGCCACAAACTATCCTATAGTTTTGTATTAGATATACAGTCAATGTTAGCTTACAATAATACAGTTGGTAAAATAAGTTGGTTTCAGTAAAATCATTTGCCTAAATGTATTCATTATAAAATATTATTTATGTATTGTTATTATTAAATTATATCTTTATTGATATAGTTTAACATGGATCATGTTATCATATAAGAATTATAAATTATGTTGCAGCGCACTATTTTATAACATGTGTGGATGAAAATTACCGATTATATGAAGGCATACTGTGTAGTAAAATTTTACCATTGTAATTTTTACCTACCCATACCTACTCTTGCTATAAAATATCGGTGCAAAATAAAGCTAATATTGTAACCTTTTGCCCTTTCCAATAATTTACATATATATTTACATTATACAATTAGTTAATGTTAGTTTATAAAAATTTACAGTTGTTAACATAAGTTATTCATAATATCCCAGAAATTTTTAATGCAAAAGGCTTTCGTTAAAAAGTGTTGTATACAGACCAGAACCATGATGATTGTCCTAAATGTCCATTACTATTACCAACAAATAGCGCTTCTAGTGTTCGGGTTATTCACGAATCATCTGCTTTTCTATTAGATGTAATTTAAACTTTATAAAAAATATATTATTTTTTAACTTTTGTTTAATTTACAATAAATGAATAATTTACATAGAATTCACATTATATACAATGTTTTATTGAATTTTGAGTGTACTTATTAGAATTCATGTGGTCAATTAATTATATTAATTTATGGAAATAAGATTAATATTTCATAAGCTTAAAAGTTTATATTTTAGACCTTAACCGAAAACAGTATACAGTATTAGATAAGACATTAAATCTGATTGATAAATCACATATTGATAAGATCCACAAAGGCTGTAAATATACTGTAATATCTACCTATTGTATTAAAAAATTGTTAAATATGCTATGGGCCAATTTTAAGCGTGTACAATTAAATCTAGAAATTACTATTGTACCTATTGTACATTGAGACGATGTTAACGATCAAATGGGTCTACATGTAAGATTGTATGTACAAGGTCCATTTGGTTTACTATCAAGAGTATTTGTTTTATTTAACTTAAAAATGTTTTTATTATAAATCCGTTTTCAAGAGCTAATTGATAATCAATTGATAAAATAAATGCTTGTTCATCATAATGGTTATTCACAAATACCGTGTAACTTATTGTTAATTAATGAGGGGTATTTACTACAATAATGGGAATTAAAACACAAGGTATTTATCAAAATTATTATACGGATGTTTTGAACTTGATTACTTTATCTAATATGATAGTTAATTTTAATTTCACTTATAATCTAAAAATAATTACTTTGACCGTATTGAAGTGGTCGGGCACTCAACAACAAATTTTTATCACCATGCATTTACATTTACAATGTTTGGCAATACCTAACAACAAAAATCTGTCTGGTGAAGTATAAATACCGAGGTGAGTTGTGCTGGAAAATCACAATTATTTTTAAAGTAAAATTACAAGTAATTTTATTGAAAAATAACCATGTTGAAAGTTGTGTGTTTGGCCCTGTTTGTCGCCGCTGTCTCAGCCGGCATCCCCTACAAGGATTGTGGTAAGCTAAATTATAATGTTATTTATTTATTAATGTACATTAATTGTAATCATATTATCAAACCACGTTGTTTGACACGCATAGGACACTCCGAAGTGACCAGCCTTGAGGTGAGTGGCTGTCCGTCCGCGCCGTGCATTCTGCATAAGGGAAAGGAGACCACATTCACCATTAAGTACACCGCCAGTGAGTATTACATTAAATATATTATGATTTTACACATTAAAATTGTACTATGTACATTAACTATGTACAGGTTTAAGTCTCACAACTTATACTTATAATTTATAAGTTATAAAAGTAGCATAATTTATTTAAATGTTGTTTAATAACTTTTGAATGAGCAATAAATCACAATCTAAAAGCTTAGTCAATATAAATTATAACTAGTACATAATCAAGAATTATTGTATTTGACCCAAACCAGACCAGGACACCGCTAAGGCTGAGTGGTCTCTGCACGCCATTGTCGGTGGTGTGGATATGGACTTGTCTACACTGATCCCCGGCTTTGACAAAGATGGTTGTAAAGACACTCCCTGTCCCATCAAAAAGGGTGAATCCAAGACATTCACATACAAAGTGGTCATTCCCGCCGCCGCTCCCGATGTCGAGGCCGACGTTAAGGCCAGACTTATCGGTGAGAAGAGTGATCTCTTCTGCGGAACCGTCCATGGTTCCATCAAGGCTTAAATTAATTACTATGTTTAAGTTATTGCTGTTTAAACATAACGCACATAATTTATTTTTGTTATAACATCAAATAAAAATAAAATAAATACAATTTTCAAATACAATTGTTGCTTATTTTACATGTTTAAATTTAACTCAGATTGTGTGAAGTAAGTAGCTTATCTTTCCATTTAATTTTATCTTATGATTAATACAATCAAAGTACATTTAAAATCGTAGAATAAAAATATTATATTAAAAATATTTTTGTCATAATAGTATTAATAACTTTATCTAGTGCTCAATAGAACATTTATATCATTAAAACATAATCCAAATATTTTTAACAAATAATTTTAAATAAGCTTAAATAACGGTTAAAACATAAAAAGTTTAAACTGATTTGTATTTTTTATACTTAACCAAAATTGCAAAAAAATTCATCGAAAGTGTAATAATCTGTAATTATAAATAATTTTATCATTAATTGGACCAATAATTTTATTTTTGTTATTCATTTTAAATGAATCATTTACCAAAATATTATAAAATTAATCAATATTTACATTAAGAATATTCTCAATATTAATGGCTTTTCCTAATAATTCTAAACCAATTGTTGATTTCAATACATGATTGAAGTATAGTTTAATCTAAAATTTAAATTGTTATTACTTTATGTTAATAATATTGTAATTATTAATAAAAAATATTTTAAATAAATATCAAGAATTTAGTCCTTTTATTTGGAGATTTGTAAACAAATCCGTGAACAAAATGCAAACCA